TATACTCACTGCTGAGCTGTTATGTACCTTCTATTTTGGTTTTGAAGTGTGGATACTTGTTGAGCACAGCCACCTGCTTTTTCCAGTCAAACTCGTGTCTCCAATAGGAAACAACTTTCTTCAGATAAGTAGAATTGAAGCCATAGTGAAACTTGCCATCTTCTAAAGGATCTGCGTAGCGTGTCCTGTCGATGCGCTCATAGAGATCCTGTTGATCAAGAAGATTGCTTTGCATAACTGTTCCCAAATATTGTTCATTCAGAAGTTGGATTACCAGCTCAAACCTACCTCGATCTCTTTGTCTGAGGTCTCCACTTGAAAAGGGTAGATTTTCTGATCTTCTGATAGTGTCTTCTCCCCCACTCCCCACCATCCGTCCCCTAAAGGAATGGTTCTTGTTTTTTTTCTTTTGTAAACTATGTAGGCCATTATTCCACCTGCTGCCACGGCTGAGCCGATCAGTAGCTGCTGCTGCTGAACAGCACTCAAGCCAAAGAAAGTGTCCCTGCAAAGTGTGGGAAAATATTAAGGGAAACTTAAAGAACAATCTATTTATTTGTCCGTATAACTGTAAAGTTAAGTGCCTCCCTACTTCAAAACCTGCAGTCTCTGCATCGTGCTGTTCCAGGATTGGGCGTCCACAGGTGACTTTAGACCTGGACAATGGGACATAGGTCAAGAATGCTTTTTTTTTTTGTTCCCCTTTTTGTCACGCAGCAAAGCGCTTCAAAAGTCGAGTGTGCTGAAATCAAATCCCAGCGCGATTAAACATACCTTGTTTTCGATATGAGTAGTTTGATTTCTGCAGATAACCGCGGGCAGCTGGGTGCTAGTTGTGCAGACGCAAAGAGTGCGAGTGAGTTCGTAACAACAGCCTGGATCAGACCCGATCTCTGCTGCGGGGATTGCCGATTCGCCGCGAGATATGCCACTCCTCGCGCGCGGTGACGTCGATGTTTATATAACTGGGAGGGCACGGTGGGGAGTGTTTCACTTCGTCTCCTGTGTGTTGTGTTTGTTAGGCAAAAGATACAAGATGTGGAAGGTCGCTTTGACTGTTCTTGCGGCCGCTTTGGCCGTTGGGTATGGGACCATGGTCGGGGGCTTGACAGACGCCGATATCAAGGATGAAAATGTGCAAAACGCTCTCCGCTTCGCCGTCGTCCAACACAACAGAGGCAGCAACGATATGTACCTCAGTCAAGTGGCGGAAGTGATCAAGGTTCAGTCACAGGTGAGTAACGGTCAGATTTGTGAATAACTAAATTGTTCTTTAGGGGAAAGCCATCCAGTAAACCATCGTAGTGATGTGAGCCCTTAAGAAAAGGCCTGCGAAGCACCCTTCAAAGGTTTCACTTTTAACTACTAAACTAAAGTCCCAGGGTCCTAGAGGCCGTTACATACAATTTACTTGCTATATGCCTTCTTAATGACGTTGGTACTCCCCAAAATATGGCTGGCCTCTTTAATCTTCCCTAATCCTCTCAACCTAGCTTTAGCAGTAGGTCTGCAATGTTCTGTATACCTGTGTGGAGGCAGCCATTGGCCCGCCCGAACAAAAGACCAGTGGGGGTTTAGAAAAAAAAAGGAACCCGACGAAAAGCACGTCTTCGCTAAAGATTGGTTAATATGCTGACGAGTCATGTATTTATTATTTTTTTAAGTTTATTTGGCTCTCCTCTTGAACCCTGAGACAAGGCTAGCGTAGCAGTGTGTTGATGTTTGTGTTTTTTCTAGTCATTGGTGAGCTCCTTGGCTCACGGGCGGTTTAAAGAGGAAGAGGAGGAGTAGTTAACTTGCTGTAAGTCTTGTATTCAATTTTCTTTCCCATTACAGGTGGTCGCTGGCATCAAGTACGTCATAACTGTGAAGATGGCAAAGACCCCCTGCAGAAAGGGTGGTGTAGAGGAAGTGTGCGCAATCGAGAAAGACGAGGCAAAGGCTAAGGTACTGATGGCATCTTCTCAAAAGAAGCAAGATATTTGATCTGTTCTTAAACATCATGCAGCAGCCTTGTAACTAAAGCTGCATTCACACTGGAAGTGATTTGCTTGATGCACATCTCTTTGCAGCTGACGGCCAGTGTCCTGTTGAAAAGTGATCATCTGAAACAAATTGATTTCTGATGTTTCTATGTTTTGTTTTTTATTTCATAATAATAAATCAACATTTTTCTGCATACTTGACATAGTTTTATAGAACTTTTCTGCTGCCCTCTTGTCGCGATGTTGCTGTGAATCCCTTTGTGTGTAATGCATATTAATCTGATCGTTAAATACTCATGTTCTCAATAGACATTATGCTATTGGATAAAAAAAACCTACAGCATTTATGTGTAAATAACACCAACTGAAAGATCCTAATGTTAAATGTATTGTCTGTTTTTCCTTTCAGCCCTACCAGTGCACATTCGAAGTGTGGAGCCGCCCATGGCTTAATTCCATTGAGTTACTGAAGAATGAATGCCAACACTGAGATCTACGTGGGACACTAGAACGAGAACGCTTGGGAAATCTTAACTTTGTGTCAGAATAATCTTCTCTTAGACTGCAATGCACTTTCCTGTAGGTGGAATAAATATATTAATATTAGTATTTGCTACCTATACTACTGCACTGCTTAACTAATTAAACTTGTTTTAAATTTCAAAAATTAACTATCCAGTGTTACAAACTAGGTCTCCCTGATTTTTAAAGAAGCAACTTTGCCTCATCAGTAAACCAAGCAAATAAACTTTTGTGTAGTCAAATTGATCGTTAGCTGCTTTTTTTCAGATAAGTTTTAAAATAAAGACAAACTTGCACACAAACTTTAATGTGTCCGTGTGGTAAATGCACACAAGGATGACGTTTTAGCTCAATAGAGCTTCTTTGTTGTCGTTGATGGTGATGAGTTCTCTGGATACCTACCCACTGACTAAGAGGAAGGAGAATGTAAACAAATCTGGGACCAGACATGACTGACAACAGAAAATGTCATTCACATTATTTTTCATTTTAACATCTATAAGGAGCTTTGTTTAACCACTCTCCCACTGCTCTCAGTCTACCCAAACGTTGGTGGATAGAGCAGTGGAAGTCAACGCAGAAGCTTGATGTCAGATCATGGGTCAAGTGCAGGTTTGGCGCCCTGTACTCAAAATTAAAAGTGACCAATAAGACACAAACTGTGCAGAATATGATGGAACTACAGCAAATACAGATTGCTTGTAAGAGATGGAAGTCAGTGTAGGCTAATTCAACTACAGAGGAAGATGGAGATGTGCATTTGTCCTTCACGCACTCAACTCCAAACACACCACTTCTCAGCAGTCATCTACGTGTCCCAGACAAGCACAGTCTTTGTCCCACTTTTTAAAGTTGTTGGGATACAATAAGTGGAAAAATACATTT